TGAGTTTGATTCCCAGTACTGGGGGGAAAAAAGGGCTGGGAGTGTGACATAGTAGTTGGAACACCTCTGGGTTTGATTCCCAACCGCCCCCCTGAAAAAAGATAAACATGAACTTTAAAGGGACATCAGGGTAGGTATAAAGAACACAGATTTTGAGCATGCACTGTAAATTGTACTAATACCCAATCCAATACATATAAATTATGCAACAAGTAGATCAAATAGGCATAGTCACTTGAAATTACAAAAATAGCCCAGTACCTGTAGGAGACTTTCTATGGCATGAAACCCTCGAATTAAATTCAGAGCTCCACATAAAAGACTAAGGATAAATGCCACAATCCCTGATAGAGTTGCTGGTTCCAGTCGCTGGTGAGCTGGAAAATAAAAGAAATGGTTAGAAATGAACACCAGTATGTCACGTAGTTGAACTTATGTTAAACAGAAATTCCTTACTCCGTTTAAATTCATCAAACATAATTTTATACAATATATCTTAGTAATTAAATATTCTTTCAAAATGCAAAACGTTGACAACATAAAAGCCCCATTTTCTTAAACTCAAATCAAATGAACTTCTTTTTTCTTTTTCTTTTTAACAGAAACCTAATTTGCATTTGTGATATATAGTGTTAATGTGCTCAAATCTGGAAGTAAATGGTTTAGGAAAAAAACCTTACTGCTTAAAAAATGTCTACTATTTTCAAATAAGTGCAAGCATTTGCAAAGGTGACTTTGCTTGGAAATTCACTGCATAATTTCTTACTTTCTCTGAAAATACTCAGAAAACATTTGTAAGAACAAATATAGTTTGCTTTTAAGCAATGCTCCCCTTTATTTGGCGCCACAAACACCACCGGATGTATGTGAAAGCTCATATGATCACCAGTCTGCACTCCACAACAGAATGTAGTCTTAGAGTTTTGAAGTTCCTGGTCTGGTGAATACTACTTGAAGGCAAAAATGATAAAATACTAGCTGAAGAAGTGACCGTTTTATCTTTACAGATACATACCCTCTTCTTTCAGGGCTTTAGCAGCATAAGATATTCAATTAAACAATAGCTTCCCTTCATTATTATTTTGTGCTGAATAAACAATGACATCCAAATGAAAACACAAAACTAAATATATAATCATTAGACTTCAAAATGGTGACAGAAACAAAGAAAGGACAACAGAAGCACATTTTACTTTATTTAAACCACTGAAGTGTAAAAGTCCAACAATGAAGTTAATGAGGTGGAACAATAATATAAGAATGGCCTTAAATCTTTGCAAATTATATTCAACCATTACAGTAGAAAAGCTTCTGTAAACAGTTTGTAAAAACACAAAAACCCACATATTATAAAAAAGTATTTATTCCTCAAATTCAACAGAAAATAGTAATATGAAGTAACATTTTCTTAAACATCATTTGTGCTTCTGTCTATTCTCTCAATTTCCTTAGGTTTTAATATGAAAATAGATC